AGTGACGTGATTGGCTCAGTGTTCTCTGTACAGGGCTGCGGTTTATGTCACAGCTATATACATGTATAATAATAGTGTGTGATTGTGGGGGGACATTAGAGTGTAAGCTCCTCTGTACAGAGACTGATATGACTGGCTCAGTGTTCTCTGTACAGCATTGCGGTGTATATAAATGTCAGAGCTATATATATGTATAATAATAACAGTGTGACTGGCTCAGTGTGGCGTCGGTGCGGGGAGATTACCGGGAGGGGGGGGGGGGCCTGGCCTAAAGCCGTGTAAGGGGCCCAGAAATTTCTGAAGGCTGCCCTGCTCATAATGACAACCCACGGATGGCACTGTGTAAATACACAGGATGATGGAAGAAAAGTCACCAACACTCAATCCTTCAAAGTGCAAATTGAATCTTCTTTATTGTAAAAATGTCACATACTGTAAGTCATCAAGCCAATGTTTAGGGGCACCATGGGTCCCTTCCTCAAGGCAACACAGTGCTTGGTTACTGTGCCGCCTTCAGGAAGGGACCTTGCATGGCAATTTTTATGCATCTTTTTGTCCAAAGATTCCATAGAAAATAAAATATTTTTTGGAAAACATCATAACATAAATTAAGTCTAGTTTTTCCCTAAGTCTATTTCCAGGGAAAATGAAAAAACTCCCCTTGCAGTGGAGCTCCCCTTCCACTACAAGGGTTAAATACTTGTTTTTTCCTAGGGTACCCCTAGCATGCTCTTTTACCTGATCTCCTTCTCCTCCAGCTGCCTGCCCTCAAATCTTCTCACTTACACTCTAGTTTCTGGGTGGTCCCAGAAACCATGGTAAAACAATGTCCTGCTTAATGTGGAGGGCAGAGACCACCTTAGGAAGAAAAGAAGGCATTAGGTCCTAGTGCTACCTTATCCTTGTGGATAACCAGAAAGGGCTTTTTAACCACTTAAACTTTGATAGGATGTGCCTTTAGCTGCTGCGCCTCCACAGGTTCTCATGAACCAGCAGCAACTCCTACAAGCTGCTGTAAATCAATGCGAGAGGAGGATCCCGACAATATTGTCAGGATCGCTTTTCAGCACAGAGCTTAACCCCAACCACAGTATATTACACTGAATTCTAAGCATATGGTGCATTTTTGCAAAACGTACTCCAGTATTATAAGGAAACTAAAAATGCAAAAAAAGCTGCAACCTCTCATATGTTTCACCCGTAGTCTTTTTCATAGAGATCTATGAATAAGCCTACAGGTGAAACATGTGAGAGGTTGTAGCTGGTTGGTGGTGTGCAGTGCTGGTATTTGTTGCTTTATTCACTGTTATACTGGATTTGCCGTGAATTTCAATAAAATCTGAAGTATTGGAATTCTTTGGATAGTGCGGTCTGTTCGCATACTACTACATTCCAAGTTGGAGATGCACCTATTAGACCAGCACCTGGGGTGTCCTGATGGCGGCTAAGGAATTGGAGCGGTGAGATTTCCTTTGGCTCTACAGATCTTTGGCTTGAATTACATCTTGCTAAAGCAGATCCTCACCTTCCAGGCCTTAGCTATCTACATGTCGCTTATGGTGTTAATCCAATTGTTTTAAACCTGAAGCAGCCAAAGAGAAGTGGTCAACCATAGGTTCAAAGAACAAGAAGTAAAATCAAGTTTTCTTTCCACCATTCATTGATATCTGTACTTTCCTAAAAAATATTGTACAAACTAAAAATTAACTATGTTTTATACACAGTGAGCCCACCACGAGAGGTCCAACATTGACCAAGGGCAAATACAGGTGAAACTCGAATAATTAGAATATTGTGCAAAGTTCATTTATTTCACTAATGCAACTTAAAAGGTGAAACTAATATATGAGATAGACTCATTACATGCAAAGCAAGATAATTCAAGCCGTGATTTGTCATAATTGTGATGATTATGGCTTACAGCTCATGAAAACCCCAAGAACCCCAAATCCACAACCTCAAAAAAGTAGATTATTACATGCAATCAATAAAACACGGATTGTACATAGAATAATATCGGACCTCTGAAAAGTACAAGCATGCATATGTAGTCAGTACTTGGTTTGGGCCCCTTTTGCAGCCATTACTGCAATTACTTTTGCACGATATTCTAATTATTCGAGTTTCACCTGTATGCTCACAATACATTTAAAGACTGTAAGAATCCTGCATTTGGGAGAAAAACAAACATGCTACCAAGTCCTGTGACAAGCCCTAAGAAGGGTGACCAGAGTGAGAAGATAGAAAATCCCAATCGCGATTGTCCAATTCATAAGAAGCCACAACCTCCCACAAAATGTATCAGGTTCTGGAACAAACCCCTGCAAGAATGCAAGGAACTCTTTACAAAAATTCAGACATTCTTTGAGTATTGTGCTTCTAGAGAACATCTTGCAAAGGACTGTAAGCCCTCATTCACACTGAGCGTTTCATAGCGCTTTTTATGCTTTGAAAAAAACTAATTCATTTCTGAAGCTATGTTGACATCTGAGCATTTTGTCGCTTGCAGAAAAACGTCCATCACTTGAAGATTCTGCGCTTCTTTGCCCCATAGACTTTAATGGAATCTCTAAAATGTTGGCTCATTTTCCGCATGTTGGCTCCGTTTCATTTTAATGTGTGTTTTAAACGCCTTTGTCCATTCTGCTCGCAAAAACGCTGAGTATATGTACGTGCGTAAAATGTGCAAAAACATGGGAGAAGGTGCTACACAAAACACGTGTTTCTGCATGCGAAGTCACTGTCGCTCAGGTATAAATGAGGGCTAAGGCAGTTATCAAATGTGTGCAGTGCAATGAGTGTGGCGTGCAAAGCAATAAGTGCAGCCCATGTTCAAGCACCTTGTCTATTTCAGCATAACTCTTCTCAGACCATGCTGGGGAGAGCCACAAACAGTCACTTCTAATAAGCACATTGAACTGCAGTAATCTATGTTTTGAAGGGCTTTGTGTAAAAATGTGCAAAAATATAGACATATTGAATGTTTGTCACACAAATATTTTTTGAACTGAAAACTGTTTATCCTATTGGTGTACACAGCAAGTCAGTAGCTGTCCCACAGCTCAGACACTAAATTAGGAAGCAATACAGTGACATACAGTATCTCACAGTGAGTACACCCCTCACATTTTTGTAAATATTTTATGATATCATTTCATGTGACGGACACAGAAGAAATGACACTTTGCTACAATGTAAAGTAGTGAGTGTACAGCTTGTATATCAGTGTACATTTGCTGTCCCCTCAAAATAACTCAACACACAGCCATTAATGTGAAGTCAAAAGTGAATACACCCCTAAGTGAAAATGTCCAAATTGGGCCCAATTATAAATATAGAACATGTTCACCTAAAAACAAAAATAAATGCTAAAACAGACTGCATTTTGTATTTTTTTTTCCACACAGGCCAGATTTATCACAAAAGCTCAGTCAATGCAAAGATTGTCACTGCTGCTGCCTCTCCTGGAAACTAGTTGTATAATATGTCCGATTCGCTAAATCTAAACTTCAGGCAGATATAAAAGACACAAATCAATGTAGCTTTAGTGCCCATTCACACGCGTTTAATCGTGCGATTTCTGTCGCAATATCGAGCTTATTTGCCGTGCGATACCACGAGAAGTCGCCGTCCAATGATTTTCAATGGAGCTTTTCTATTGTACAGCTCCATGACGCTCGTCGCTTGTGCAGGACCCTTTTTCCCGCGGATGTTGCACGATTTTTCTATTTTTGCATTCAGCCTAACGATAAAGGTCCCGCGATCGTTGCCGGAACGTTGCCCGAACAGTCGCGCTATCCTGGCCGCGCAGATCCGCTCGAGGTAAGTGTCGCTTAGTGTGAAAGGGGCCTTAGTCATAAACATATAATAATGTTTTTTAGTGTGGGCAGTGCAAGTACCTAAATTTGACTTGGTATTAGCCTCTTACAACCACCTGTATGGCAGAGCCCAGACTGGCAGAGGGAGGAGAAGCATTGGGAGGCAATCAAGTGTCCCGCATGAAAATGTGCAGACAATGAACATGATTATACAGTAGGAGCAGAGAGAGCAGGAGGGTGACTGCATTGGTGTATTCTTGCATACTTATTGTCAAGCCAGCAAGCTCAAGGCAGAGAGATGATGCCATAGAGAAAGTGGTGCCATCCGCCTAGCTATGCTTTCTGTCAGGACTGCATAGGCACAAATACCAATCCTTTGGCAGGTAAAGGTTTCCATATATGTATTTCATCTGTGTAATTAGTTGTTTGCCTGGAGCTCAGCTTTAATGGCAAATTCTCTTGCATTCAATAGTATTCTTCACCCATTTTCTGTGCATCTAGCTATATATGATAACGGGGCTATTCACAAAAGGGTGAAGAGTTTGGAGAAGACAGGAGAAGTGAACAATCTACCGTATATACTCGAGTATAAGCCGAGATTTTCAGCCCATTTTTTTGGGTGAAAAGTGCCCCCCTCGGCTATTCTATAAATCTTTGGTAAACTGTGGTACACAGAGACCAGTACCCTTGGGGTTGGGTGGTATATAGTAGCACAATAACTTGCACACAGTACTCTATTCCTTGATGTACATCGTTGAAAATTGCTCTATTGCCTGAATTTCCCATGAATGTATAGTTTTAGTACTATGATAACATTTGTATAGTGACACCTGTTCCCTGATAAGTGATACGTACTTTCAACTTAAGAAGAAATGTTGCCTTGTTCTCAGTGATGAAGTGAGTCTTTCATCCCTACAGTCAATCATAGCACCAGATTTTTTTAACATACTAACACGTACAGAGTAGTATTATCTAATATATTATTGAAGTTGTGGGGCAGCAATGTTGAATGCAGTGCAATGTTAGGCCACCTTCATTTCATTTCAATACTACAATAACAGCAATGATGTTCATGTAGCCTATAGCAGCGTAGCCTTACCATTGAGCTTGGCTTCCTGATGTTGGTAAGCATATTTCAAATGAAAGTCGTATGAAAAAAAAAAAGGCTGATAATCAGCTCACCTTTGCTAAATCCACCAAAGTGTTGGCCTGATCATTGAGCTTTCTCTGTTCCATTTTCACACTTCGTAACCTGCAAATGACAGAATGGTTACTTTCCCAATGGCAGGCCAGTATTTGAAAAAGCCTGTTTCATGACACATGCAAAGCAATCAATGTCTTTTCTTTCTTCACAAAAAAAAAGAAAAGAAAACCAAGGCCAAAACAACTGAAGCTGAAAAATAACACCATCCCCTGCAGCACCTTCACATAGCCTAAAATATAGGACTGTTCAGTGCTGTCAGGGTTAAGAATCCTTATGCATTAGATCATGCAAAGTTAATTGAAAATGAGCAAGCAAAAAGTTAAAATCTGCATAGCATAGCTAAAGACCTTATGAAAAGGCCAGTACACTGATGCACATCTTGTAATGGGTTAGAAGTTTAAAGTTTGTTAAGCATCTTTGCATGCATCAGTATGAGTTACCCCTTGTACCATCATTACCTCTGATAGATAGCTTTCATGGAAAACTGGAGCAGCCACCACAATCGTCTTTGAAAATGAGTATGCTGCTAACTATTATGAAGAAGAGTCATTGCAGACTATGCCACCTGACAGATAACACAACATCAACTTTCAGATCCTGTCTAAAATCCTGTGTCTTTGTCACTTCCTGTGAGCTGAACTGAAATCTCAAACAATGTTATCAGCTTTTCTAGCTATCTTCCCTGAACTAGGATTACAACACTGCACCTCAATTGATACAGTGCAGTGAATGAGTGTTGTCACTCTGGAACAGGAAGGATTACCAGATAAAAATGAAGAAAAAAAATGCCTGAAAAAAAGGAAACTAACACCATGAAGAATGGTAAGCTGCAATATATAAATTGTTTTTGGGTTTAGATCCACTTAAAAAAACTGGATTTGCAGAATAGCTTTTACAACGAGTTTCTATCTGTACACATTCATCTGTAGTTGGGTGCAGATAAAATTGGGTGTTTCATATCCAGCTAGAGTTATTAGCTGAAATTAGATCTTCATATCAAGCTTGGTACAACAAAACCTACAGAAGATTCCAGGACAACCAGGACAAAATAGTTGTCATACCTGCAAAATTTAGAAATTGAAGATGAGGAACACCCTAATGAGTAGATGACTCATAGCAGGCAGCCACAAAAAATTAGGGTCACTACATTGCACTGAATATTGGGCACAGTATCAAGGGTCGTAATTAAATAGGCATAGTGAAAAAATTCCCCAGCATCAGAAGAAGGAAAAAAAATATCCCTCCATGGTTTGTAGGAGGCCCTGAAAATGCAAGAACCCTCAGGCAGCTTAGTCCAGTACCTGCCCTTTCCCTTCCATTGCGGATATCTTTGCAGAGGTTGCCTTTCATTTATATAGCAGACTTTTCCTTGATGTTCGTGTCCATGGCATTCTGTGTATTATAAGCATTCTGTGTATTAATACACTGAATACATTCAGTGTATTATAAGGTAATTTCTTTGCTCACAGGCTCAAGCAACAGCTGTCCTGTATCTTATTTGTGTATCACTCAGGTGTAGATCCTCAAATCATCTCTGAATTGGTGCTGATACTGTCCTTCCTTCTGGAGGGTGGCTACTCTTGTTCCCCATAGTCCTTGTGTGTGTTGTAAATGCCCACCGCTCTAAGCTCCCTCCCGTGATGGACTACAATCTCACGTTTAATTTACTAATTGTATTGAGATTGTAGTTTTACAGTGTGAAAGATGGCTTCTGAACATTTTTAGTAGCCTTTAATCAGCAAGTGCTTTGTAATTCCGTCACATGGATAATACATACCAGCATTTGACAGGGCCATTGAGCTTTTTGTTCACTTTTTATTTACTCTCATGTCTGAGAGCAGCATTTTGATAAGATGCCACTTGTAACATCTTTTTCTCTGAATTATCCTTATTATCATCCTGTCAAGGTTCTTTGAAAGCTGAACTCCAGGTAGATAAAAAAGAAAAGACAAAAAACAATGCAGCTTTGTATTCAATAATATATCCTTACATGTATTTCTTAAAACACAAGCAGTATGTTGCAGTGCAAGGAGCATGGTGATAAGAGGAGAGAACAGAAATATGATTTTATCCATCTACTGCCTCTCCTTTCACAGTCCATTCGCAGGCTGAGAAGACCTGCAAGTGTTACTAACTGTAGCAGAGGAAAATCAGGTGTAGATTTGCACCTAAAGCAAGCAGATGGGTGTGGTTTGGTCAATGCGATGCCTGCAAGTAACGTTAGGTCACTGTCTAATACAATCTCTAATTTAGCTCTCTCAGGCAGCATGGTTGTCAAAAAACTCCAGCTCATTATAGAAAGCAGCATGTTCACAGCTCACAGAAAGAAAAAAACTTTACGCCAGGTTTTCTCATTCATCAGCGAATGAAAAACCACAACAGGATCTCAGAGATGAAGATCATGACTTCGCAGTTGTTTAAATTCCCATGCAGACAAGCACCAATACATCTGGAGAAGTTACTCGTTGGAGAGGTGGGGTGGGGAATGGAGAAGGAAACTTACTTCTGTGCTCTGGTAGGGGATGATTTAGCAAAACAAAGACAAAACACAACATAATTGTTGTTGCTATTAACAAACAAGACACTAAACACAAAATGCAACACAGCTAGTTTACAGGACTTAGGTGTATACAGAAGACAATCTGCAGGGTACATAAGCCAGGGAGTTGGCAAGTACATGACAATAAAGTCTATTTAAGATTGTGCATTTTAGGATTGTATCAAACTTTTAGCAGATAGTTCTGCTTTTGACATTGGGATTTTTTTTACATTTTAGAATGTACTGTAAATGCTTGGAGTTGTCACACTAAATATACTTCTAATGAAATACACTGCCTGGCCAAAAAAAGTCACCACCTGGATATAGCTAAGCAAATAGATAAGAGCCCTCTGTTGGATAATTAGTCTAGATTCAGCAATGTTATGTGTCCAAAAAAATGAGGTCAGCTTCCTACCTAAATATACTGAATGACCAGGTTTTTCCATCAATAGATTTCTTTTTTCCTTGATGGCACGGACATATTCCAAAATGACAATGCCAGGATTCATTGGGCTCAAATTGTTAAAGAGTGGTTTGGCCACCACAGAGTCCAGACCTTAACCCAATTGAGAATCTTTGGGATATGCTGGAGAAGACTTTGCACAGTGGTCCGACTCTCCCATCATCACTACAAGATCTGAAAAATGAGTGTAACTCTGGACGAAAATAATGTTGTTGCATAAACTTGTCGCAACAATGCCATGGAGAATGCGTGCCATAATCAAAGCTAAAGGTGGTCCAACAAAATATTAGAGTGTGTGACTTTTTTTGGCCAGGCAGTATATTATATGTGGTTTCCTAGACCGGGAAGCAAGGGCAGCAGAGACTACATCAAATAAAGAAAAGAGTTGTTTCCATAATGACAGGCTTGGTAGGAAAGCAAAGAAAAGAGTCCACATAGCCTCGATGACCTGCTCAACAATGGTCAACCTACACATCTGTTGATTTAGGGATCAAGCAGGTCATGTCTTCCATTTCCTTTTATATGCTATGCAGCACAAATTCTGAAGGAGCCTCTACTAAGCTAAATGTGTCAGTCCCCTCCATCATATGAAGACGTAGATGTGAGCCAGAAACCATTTTTTGTGTTTTCGGTTCCAGCAAACAACTAATGTTAACTGTTAACTATACTGAAAAACACAAAGGCACTTCAATGTTAACGTAGTGATAATGGAATTAGAAAATTCCTTAATCCAGGCAATCATGATTTATCAATTGTGTGATTCTCTGCAGACTAGACAAATCTGCATATGTATTTAGGAGAATGAAAATATGCTTCTTGCCAATTCACAAGATTTGTGAATGGATTGGCTGATCATGATTAAAATCCACTATGCCACCCGTTCTTCCATTATAACCTAGAGTAATGAATTGTAAACCCTTTATCTCTTTACTTCTCTCTGTATGAACTAGCACATGTTTGGTTATACATTTCATCTGCATTGCTGCTGTATTTTTGTGTTGCCATGGAAGCCATTTCAAGTATTAGCTAAACAAATCTCAGGGAAATCAGAGGTGTACAAGCTTCAGTTCATTTTGTCCATATTTATTTTCTGCATATATTTACTCACACAGGGTGGGTGGGGAATATTTAAACAGGTTAAAAAAAGAAAAAAAGGTATGATGTTAATTTGTAGCAAACCATCTAATAATTGATCATGTATTCTGCCATTATTTGGCCAATTGTTGATCTAAGTGAAAGTATGCATTATAAGACAAGTACATCTGTCTAAACCAGGGGTGGCAAACCTCCGGCCCTCTAGCTGTGGTGGAACTACAAATCCCATGAGGCATTGCAAGATTCTCACTGCCACAGACATGACTCCCGAAGAGAGATGCATCATGGGATTTGTAGTTTCACCACAGCTGGAGGGCCAGAGGTTTGCTACCCCTGGAACAGATTAAATACAAGGAAATACAGCATAATTTGTACCTTTTAATGAAATTATATTTCATCCAATTGTAAAAAATGCATACAGTCCATATTGCTGATTTGCTTTTCCTAACTAAAATAATATCTTCAATTGTTCTAAATTTTGACTTCCAACATAATCTATTACTTTACAGTTATTGAATAACGTTTTCACTAGGAGCTCTTGTGCTTTGGTTTTTATATATAATAATTGAGCAGGAGACTATGCTGAGATAGAAAAAAACCATAAAATGTTTGCCAATGTCTTACTTTTTCACAACTATAATATGTTTATGTTTACTAGGTCAACAACACAATAAGCAAAGGTTTAGTAATATTTATATTATGGGAGGAAATGGTGCAGAACCTATTTACAGAAATCACAAGACACTTACCTAGCTTAGCCGACATAATGTTGCCCCAAGTAAGGCATTGTAGCCTAGAATAATAATTAGGATAATAATAATAATCATCATCATCATATTAATAACAATAATGCAAAATGTATATAAATAAATATATATATTTTAATGATGATGATTATTATTATTATCATTATTATTATTATTGTATGGGGGGAAAAAAAGTGGATAGTTAAATGTCACCACTTGGTAAACATATTGGGACAAGACTTGTTATAGCTCACACTGCTGAGAGAATGGGATTGGTTTGTCACAATACGCTGCCAAGCAGTCCATATGAGACAGCCAAAGATTTATACATTTTAAATATAGAGTGGATCTGCTTGGAAGCAGACCTGTAGATATATACAGTATATATATATATATACCATATTTTTCGCTCCATAAAATGCCAAAAGGCGGGGGGAATGTGTGTACATCTTCGCGTCGAGCGAATCCCTATCGCCCGACGCCCGGGACATGCAGTTTTGGGCGCCGGGCAATTAGTTTTTTGTACATTTAGCCCTGCTCAGGACAAGCAGAGCTAAATGTACAGTGGGAGCCGCTGCTCGTTTACTACAAGTGATCTAATCAGATCACTTGTATCAAATTGAGCGGTGGCGGCGATCGTGTCCGGGGCCCCCCCGCTGTGGTTTTCAGGGGCCTTCGCTCCTCTGGGGGACCCGTGACCACGGTATAGGAGCTCACCATAGAGCCCCTAGAGTAGACGAAGAACGTCCGTTCTTTGTCTTCTCTGTGTGATCACTGAGATCGTGGCGCTGTAATCACAGCACCACTTGTCTCAGCTGTGACTAACTACAGCTGCTGTCACAGAATCCCTGTCACAGAATCCCTGCGTCCTATGGTCCGGTGCGCCTTATAGAGCGCAAAATACAGTATATACACACACACATTATACTATTTACACATATGGTCAACTTGTAGTTCGGGCCCAGCCTGATGATATATGAATTTTGGTATTTCCTATAAGGGGTATATATAGGGGACATGAAACCACGTAAAACGTGCTTTGAAACTTCCAAAAAAACCCCCACAATGTTCAAAATTGGCACATAGGTGAACTTGGTTCATAAAAACAATACTATGAAGAAAAAAAAGCTTTCTGGTATTACTCTTTTCTTTCTACCTCGTCAACCCTTCTTTTGCTTTTATTTTGAACTTTTAGTTACCCTCATTTCCTTTCTCCCCTTGACTGACCTTTACACCTTTCTTTCCCTTCTACTCTCACTTACAGGTGAATTGCTTGCAGGAACTTGCGCTGATGTTTGCGTACTTTAGCATGGTCAATTTTTCTCACAAGCTTTGTGTATTTATAAATGAGCCACGTTTCCCTGAGCACATTGGCAGCTGCATTTTTCACCTGGAGAAAGAAAAGAATGAGAAAAAAAAAATCACATCATCAGCAATAGTAGGAAACATATTGATATGAATGGACGGAAACAGGAAGACATGGAAATGAAGACTTGATACGGTGACAAGGAATTCTGCATGTAGGATTTTGAGAAAGGGTGGATGGGGAGAAGATAGTAAAAAAAAGTATTAGAAAGGCTTCATACCCAACAGGCCACCCACCGTCATTCATTCTCCAATACTTGGATCAGAAGTAGAACCCTTTGTGATGTATTCATATAAAACAAACTACTGTATACCAAACTGTACTTTGAACATGAATACTGTAAACCACACTATATAGAAAAAAAGATCTAGACATGGGTATAACAATAGCCACAGCACCCTCTGTAGCTGCTACAGCTTCTGGAGGTTCAGGCAGCCACTTCATAACATCACTTGCACAGGTTGAGATAATGGGGACATCTGACACAGCTGATTGCATAAATTACTGAAAAGAGAGACTGGCATAGAGGCAGATTTCCATGAAATCCTAGTTGAGTAGCAGACATGTCAGTGTTCTGCTCTGCTAAAGCTATTGACTGAAATTGGCACATCTATAGTGCAAATCACTCAGCTCTATTTCATATTTATAAAGAGATTTTCAGCAGGTTTTGTGTTTATGTGTGACCCCTGTGCATGCAATGCTGCCAGCCAACTGCTAAAGCGATGCAAGTATCTGAGACAGATTTTGAGATAGTTATGCAAAGATCTCAGAGACTCAGACATATTTTCCCTCAAAACATATCAACAACTGGGGGAAAAACCCTGCTTAAGCTGGCCAAACACAGCTTGCAATTTTGTCCAAATCCTGTGAAATGGATGAAATTCAAGCCATGGATGGCTCTGTCAACCCCACCTTGAAGAAGCCAATAATATTTTCAGTTGAACAGTCAGCTGGAGAATGGCTGCTTAAATACAATAGCTAGCAGCGGGGGATTCCTCTATCCATGCCCTTTAGTGTGCATAAGAGAATCAATGTTTTTTTTTCTGTGGGGAAAAAAATTAACTGGGGTTATTCACAAAAGAGTGAAGAATTTGGAGAAGGCAGGAGAAATGAACAATCTAGGCTAAAATAGGTGATTTGGAAGAATTCTCTAATTCAACTCATTTTCCTGGCTCAGCTATATTGTCCTAGATTGTTCACTTCTCCTCCCTTTACAAGCTCTTCACAAGCTCTTCACCCTTTTGTGAATAACCCTGTAAATGTGTATGGCCAGAAAGACATCAGTGAAACAGGTGTCAGCAGTAGAAGATTTCGTCTGACCTCCTGTGTCGGTGACAGTCATAAAATGTTGGATTTCCCATCACTTTCTACCGCAGAGTCAACTGTCACCAGGCCAAATAGAGAGGGTGAATCTTCCCAATAGCGACACAAGCAGGCTGACAGGGGATCTAACTCTTACTCTATCCAAAACTAAAGAAATGTTTGAACAGAGATGAGAGATTTTTCTAATTGCTCCTGTTTTAATCTGCAGCAAGTATAGTGATATTTTACTTTGTAAAAAAAAAAAAATTTTTTTAAACGCATAGTAGTAATTTGTTCACCAAACTTATCTGTGAGGAGACAGATCAAAGATCATTTTATTACATCTACAGTATGCAATAAATTAATAATACGCACATAATGATAAAGGATGATGATCATAGCATACACAGCACAGTGATGTAATTGTCCTAAATAATAATAATATTAATAATAACAATAATAATAATAATAGTATATTAAAAAATAATAATAAAAGAATATATTACATGTTTAACAAATGAGACAAACCCACTTATTAGAAACTTAAATTCATGTGATAAATGGACAGCTCAAAGTAAAAAGCTAAAATCTATCAGTATTTGAAATAACTATATATAATGCAAGAGCTAAATGATTATTTTTGGCTAGGGGTAGAGGAATAAGGTGCAATACTCGCCTGCAGGCTGTATTTGTGCGACCCCGGTCCCTAAAGCCTCTTCTCTACGATGCTCCAGGCCGTCATACGCTGACGTTATTAAGTATACTGTAGGGCCAATAACCCTGAATTAGATGTTAGGATTGCGAGGGTAACACTCCAAACCTGGGGCATCAAGAAGAAAAGGAGAGCGCCGAAGCCTGCCGGTGTGAGGAATAAGGTAAGTAGTATAGCTTATTTCTTTACCCCGAGGCAAAAACAAGTATTTAACCCTTGCAGTGTAGGGGGGCTCACTGCAAGGGTAGTTTTCTTTTACAATTATCAGAGTGCAGCTTTAAAACAAATATTGTCTAAATATCTTGGTGTGCTTTGTGTATTTCTACTAGGTTTGTAATCCAATGCAAACCTTTGCCTCTGTGCAGGTGCTTCCTGTAATACAGACCAGTCACTGCTGCTCTCTCTCCTTGTGTGGGGTGGCTGGTTTTGTATCCTCCCCCTCCTGTAAATTTCTGCAGGCAGCCTGTAGTAGGTGGAACCTATTTGGTTCCTCCCACAGTTCTGCTCTCTGCACAGGTTATGTACAGCACAGTGATCAGGTCACTGCTACTTTTACAAGGTAATAATTGAGCTTTGCAAAGGTGTTAGGTGCACACAAAGTGGATTTATATGCTTTTTTATATTAAGCTATATATTTGAATGAAAGTTTTTGTTTCCTGAATTTAGCTTTAAGTCATGTTAAAAAAATAGCGCTACCTTTACCTCTACCTTTAGTTGTGCTACCTTTACCCCTATGCCAGGAGAAAGGAAGCAAAGGGCATGGACATAATATGACAAAATAACAATGATATGACAGATCAATAAATATGCTTTTCCCTATACGGGATCATTCTTTTGTATGATACATGGATAGTAAAGCCTTATTATTTTCATATGGATGGGCTACCTGTAACAGGAGCATCTATGACATCTTTCTGTGCATCTGACAGTTTCTCATGAATCACTGCCATAGCGTTCCTAGAAGTCTCCTCAAGTGAAATGCATGAGTCTCTCTGTAGCTGGTAATCCAGGTCTAACCTTGGTCACCATCAAGGCTTGCCCTAGGTGCAGTTAAATGTTGTTGGCATTCTACTGCTTGTATCACTAAACTTCATGCTCGCATTTGTGCTGAACCTAGCCTTTGAATGCCTCAACGACTGACATGTGGTGGAAGGCTTATCATAGCAATATGAAATGGGTATCAGTTTATATCTTGAGTTGCTGTGGCTAACACCTCTTTGAACTAGCTGGTCAGGGCTTCATTAAAATGTAACTTCAGCCAAAGCTTAGCTTTGGAGTGGGGAATTTAGAATCTTTATCAGGCTTTTATTGTTGCCTGTGTCTCAACTCAAATAATTTCAACTCACTTCCTGTACGGTTGACCACGATGATTGGAACTGGAGGTGAGGAACCCCCCCTGGAAGTGACACAGACCATATAAAAAATCTAGCCATTCTAATACTCTGTTACTGATAGATCTTATTGATGTATGCATTGACACCACCAATACAATGATTGAAGGTGAGGGAAAAGCTCTACAACAAGGACATAGGCAGCAGTTAAAAAAAACCCCAACAGAGGATCTAATCCTTCTCCACAATATCCTCCCAAAAAAGTTTTGGCTACAGTTCTATGTTAATGATGACTACTGTATTGTGTAGCGTGAATGTTGCAAACATCTGAAATCTAGCAGTCTTTGCAACCCCCTGATCCACTATAGGGTCCACTTTAGAGCCACCCTCACTGAATATACACTTCTGTGTCTACGTTTTTCTTTAAATGTTTAAAAAAAACGCCCCACAGAAGTCAAAGTATTTGTGGATGTCTACACAGGGGAGGCATTTACAGGTATAAAACATGGATAAAATACAATAAATGCACATAAAATCTTATGTAAGTTCCTATGAAATGAATGGCCTGGCAACGGGGTCTCTTTAGGCTTACTAGGAGTCAGCTGGAACCATGCAATGTGTGTGCTACCCCCTCCCTTACCCCAGTTACAGTTATGAATTCTGAGGAGTAGGAGGAGGACTTCACACAGCTTCTATTTTTATGAATTCTTTTTTACATTTATGAGGTGGTATATGGAACCATAATTATTAAGGGGGCTATATATGTTATCACCCAAAATATACACACCTTCCATCCAAGGTTCACACAGTTTTCTAATTGAACTCGATAAATCTTGTGAATCTTGTGAGGAAACATTTATAAACAGACCCTCTGTCACTCTGGAGTTATATAATATTACATTACTATAAATTATATTATATTACCAGCTTAGATGTAAACAATTCTTTTCAACCATTCAACTGTACATTACCCACCACAAGCCACCCCATTCCCAGCCCGCCCAGCTGCTAGGTACCCGCTTTGAAAGTTGTGTGTCCATCATAAAGTTGTGTACGTGTTTCTCAGCTTTGGTGAGTTCCAATTTTCTTGCAACAACGGCAACAACCAGAGCTGTGCAGCCTGCACCCTGTGGAGGGAAAGGAAATACTCACTGCAGACATGGAACAAGAAGAAAAAAAAACATAAATTGAGATAGAAATTAGGCAAGAAATATGGGGTAGGATCTAGGATACTACAAGGATGAAGGGAAGGAACGGGAGACAGAGAAGCAGGAAGACAATGGGGAATGAATAATGTGAATGCAGCTCAACTGCTTATTGTCTTACCATAATGCCAGTTAGTAGACAGACTCCCTTTCCACAATATGTGTTAGGCACCATGTCTCCATAACCAATTGACAGGAACGTTATAGAAATCAGCCACATGGCACCCAGGAAGTTACTGGTCACCTCCTGTTTGTCATGGTACCTGCCGGGGAGAGCAAAGAGAGGAAGAGCAGAGTAAGTTAGTCTAGCAAGGGAGATTTTTTTTAAGCTCTAAAATGCCTGTCATGCAGCATTTTCAAGTGAATATAATATAGGCTGGGCTCTCCCAACCGCTGTCAAAGATAATGTGCCCAAACTCTGACACCTGAAGGGTTTAATGCTCAGTCCTGCAGTATTGCTTGCTCAAAGGAGTTTCTTTATCTAGGACCCAAGTGAACTAATATTAGTTATGCACTTTAATTGTCTTAATGGCCAGAAAGAGTGGAGGACTTGAATATTAATCAAAAATAATTTTATTAAAATAAGGATGCAGAAATCCAAAAATCTTTGCTACAAAATTAAATTACGCTAAATTAAATTAGAGCAAATTACTACCAAGAGTGTCTTCTGAATTTAGCCTGTTGATGTTAATAATCAACACACTTTTCTTGTGATAAATAAATATCTGTACTGTTCAGATGGCTACAAAAGCAAAGTACAGTCAATGACCATTAGGTAATCCTATGAATGTATCTGTCACTCTAGATATTTTTAATCTGAAGCTTCAAATGTTACTTATGGCCGCCACAAGCCACAGTAAGTATACAGTATATCTGCCATGAATGCATGGATACTTCCAAAAGGATCTGTCAGATTAATTGTTGAATACATTTCTTTCTGGTCAAAGTGAATATTTTTATGCAGTGCTTCAAACATTTGCTTAGGCACTGCAAATGTTTACGACCTCTTTTAAAAAATAGAAAGGCTTTTGTGCCTGGGGGCTGGATGCCTGGAACCAGAATGCTGTGGAACCTACTGCATCAAGCTAATACATTTGTACAAGTTTGGACAAGTTTCAGGGTGTCCAAACTTGTATAAATATATGTATTAGCTGGATGCAGTAGCTTCCATGGGATTCTGGTTCCAGGTAGCACTGGAACACTATATAAGCAGAGTCTGCAGACTGCAGTGCAAAGGTAGACAATCAAACAACATGTTGGCTTCAGGTTATATAACCATAGGACTTTTCAGGCTTTTTCCAACTGACAGGTAAGTTTTGGACACATCAAATCTTCCTTACTAATGTTTTACTGTTTTTACAAAGAGGGCCTAGACTTCAATTAAGGTCTGCTTTACACCTAGTGCGACGTCTATGCAACTGATTAGGCCAGACATTTAAGTAAAAGGTACCCGAAATTGCTGATTTTTATCCCTGATTTAAAAAATTGAGATTTCTGCAGCATCTTGCCTGCTCTACTACACTATGCGTGTTTTGTGAAGTGGCTGAAAGATTTAGCCCTATGATTAGCATTATTATTAGAACACTTTGGTCCTAGTAGGGACAGGTTGTCTTGGAAAATGGACACTGTGGAAAACACCTTTCTGCCACAGAGGTACTGCATCACCTAGATAAATAGTTTTAGTATAGGACTGAGCCTTTAAAGGTAACTCCACCTTTTTAAATTGTGCAGCTGGGGCAGAGCAGCGAAATAATCAATGTAAATAATAATCATTACTTATGTTGTTCCAGGATCCACTGTCCCAGGGCAAGAATATTCAGATTTATTTATTTTGCCATATGGAATTGTAAAAGCAGTGTAATACTGTGCCTTTGTCAACACTCCATTGTTAACCTTCAACAGCATCAAGCAAAATGTGAACATTTCCAGTGGGGCACAGTGGAGGCTTCAAAAGCCTCTACAGTCTTGATAATACAAATGATATAACGACTACTACTTACATAGTTTATGATTTCACTGCCCTTATTTACAGTATCATTAGTTAGAAAGATGGAGTTATACTTTAAACATAGCCATGCTGACTGCATGCTTTTAAAATGAGCTTTCCTTACTACGTTCTCTTACATGGGTCATGAGCAAAGTGGGTAAAGAAAATTTAATCAAACCCCTCACATGCATGCCGCAGACATGTGGCATGTAAGGGACATGCTTAAGCACATGGATGGTAGGCTATACTGCATGCTGAAACCATCCGAGAACTTCGCGGCTTGCAAAAGTTCCCTCATCCCATTAGAATGGATCCAGGTGATATGAGGTCAAGTGCCATTTCCAGTTGAACAACAAAAAACATCAAAAAAATTTCATCCTCTGAAGTATTGATCTGAATCCCCATTACTCTTACATTTTTCTTTAGTCCATTGGTTATTTTCATTTTCATACCAGCTGCAAGACTGGTAGAGTCTGCTTATCAAGGCAAACACAGGCAGAGTGATCAATGGCAATATGTATTACATTTTATTTGGAAATAAAAAAAATGGAATATTACAGTGCTTAATAATGCAATTTAATAAAATCATTACAATGAAACTTAGCAAAATTATTCACAAAATCCGTGGATTTTAGCTTAACACTATGGAGTCTATTCATCGAATCTGCACAGCCTGCTTCTGACAGCTGGGCGGAGCCAGCCGTGATCTTACGGCTGGCTCCGGCCACTTTCAGAGAGATCAGCGTCCCTGGTTACCTGCTAACCAGGGACACTGATCTCCATTTGTGGGGGTTTTTTACCTGATTAAGTGCTTATGTTCACAGGTGTCAGACTCAGAAGCAAGACCAATTTAGAGTGCTTTCATTCTGCTATAATTCATGTTTGAATAGCTTTGACATGTTACAATTTGCTTCTGTGGTACTTTTGATGGACTTATGAGTTGCTTTGGGCTGCTTCGTGGTTGCTTGGAGATGTGTAAGAGACTTCTGAGTTGTTTCTGGGCTGTCTCAAGTTACCTCTAATATGCTTCAAGCTTTTTTCGCATTTAGATTGACTTGCATAAATAATTAAAGCAATCCTTACTTAACTCTTGTGCTGTCTAGCCATTAGGATACTGATCAGAGATCTGTGTTGTAGTTCTATAATCTCGTAGCTTCCAACAACCAAACCCAAAATGCTAAAAAAAACTCTAGGGGCTTGTTCACACAAAAACTGGACCAGATCTGGATGAGTGCTCATGCAGTGCAGTGCGTTTTTGATGCGTTCTGGTACGTTTTTTTTTAAAGCCTAAAATGGGCTTTCAGGTGTAGTCCAGTGCATTCCATAGTGTTTGCATGTGTTTTTTTATGCGTTTGCATGCATTTTGGTGCATTCCAGAGCAGAAAAAATAGTGCCTGCTGCAGTTTTTTCACATGTACTGGAACTGAACGCTGTGGTGTGAACTAGAGCCCAAAATACCTTTGGCATACATCGGGTGCATTTTTTGATGTTTTTGACGTTCTGTAACTGCTCTGCTCTTCATCCGCTCTGCACTTGGTGTGAACAAACCCTAAAATTTTCTGATCTGTTTTTTTTCATTGCAGATTTTTTTAAATCTCTTTTTAGTTAAGTTTTGATTTTTTTATAAATGCATTATGGGCATTGCTGTTCTATCTGGATTCAACAATTTTATTTCGCCGTTTTTTCTATTAGGCCCCTTCCACATGGGCTGATCAGAAGGTGATTCATGCACAGAACCCCTCATGATCAGAGCAGTATGAAGCAGATGTCACCGCTGTGACATCCGTGTCTGTCCAGTTTCTTCCTCCATCTTGCAATGGAAGAAAAAATTGAAATTACCGGACCCAATGTTGGTCTATAAGAAATCGGATATAAATGGACATGTGTCTGTTTACATCAGGTTACCCCCGATCTGGCACAATCAGGTCTCTGATCTGTTTGTTTTTCCAGACCTGGCCAGATTCGGGGGTAACCGGGTATAAATGGACGCCCATCCATTTACACACAGCTGCCCATAGACTAACATTGGGCATCCAATCGGGTCCACTTGAAAAACTGATGTGATTGGACTGCTCGTGTGAAAGGAGCCTTACGCTGTTTTTTTGTGTTCTTAAGTAAGCCCTGTTTGTTGTTTTTTTTCTCCCTATTTTCTTTGTTTTGTGTTATGTGTCTTTGTCATTAGATTGTGAGGGACACTCACCTTTTGGGCCTAGACAGATAGGAATTTTGGTTGAGTGGGAATATGTCTTGGAAATATATGGGATGGGCCTTGGATGGATAGAAAAAGGGAAAAGAGATACTTTTTTTCTTTCTCTTTGTCTCTGCAAGGCTAATGTATATAGTAACTGTCTGGGCTGGGGGGTAGTTACATAGTTACATAGTATTTGAGGTTGAATAAAGACATTAGTCCATCAAATAGTTTTTCTATCCCGTGGGGTGATTTTGAATGTATTTTTTTGTAATATTTTGATGGAAGGTTATTCTATAAGCCCTGTGTGGACTTTACAGATGATTAAAGTGCACCTGTGCCCAGACCATGGACATTAAAGTATTCATTATGAATTACCCCACAGTAACTGCAGCTACAGAGATCAGTGATGACCTGTTTTAAAGAACCTTTACTGCTTGTTAAGAATATTTAAATACTTGAATGCCCATAGTCTTGGCATAGGTGCACTTTACAGTGTTAGAAATTAAGAAGAATGCTCTAGATCTTCTGGTGAAATAGGATCTTTTGGCAGAATAATAGGCTTGTGTAAATGGCATAAAGAGCATTATTATTGTGCACATGTGGTCATTCATATCAATACACAATGGATTAATTTGATAACGCCAAACAAAGAAAAGTGGTATACAGTAAACTTGCACAAATCATTTCTTAAATTTCACTACTCTAAACAGATACAAGCTAAGGATTGATTAGTTGATAAGGGCTGAAATAAGAAGGGGGGGTTATGTTCAGTGGGAGTAACGATGTAAGAAGAGCCATGCAGTGGTTTTAATAAATTAATTGAATTGAAGAAAAAAATACAGCGCGGTGCGGCCTAGACGCGTGTTTGTTATTGATAGCAAGGAGGAGACAGACCCTAAATTAGGCCTGGCACTTGTAGCTTGTGGGAATTAAAGTTACCTTCAGTAGTACAACTTGGAAAGCATGGGCTAAAATACAGTCCTTAAATGTTTTGGGGATATTATTAAATATGCGCCAATGTCTTTATATTTTGTTTTCTGTTTAAGTATGTTTGGTGTTTAAGTAAACTACATGAATGACTTTTT